CAGTCGGACGGCCAACTCCTCCTCCTAGCCCCCCCGCTCCAGCAGGTCGCAGAGAATGGGGGTGAGAGAAGAAGCTTTATTTTTTAAGGTTCCTGGTTGGCTGGGGTCTTTCTTTGCAGTTTTGCATGTTCTCCCACAGTTCAGAGACACGGTTATTAGGTTAAGTAACAAACTGTAGCTGTACAGTAAGCAAACAGTCTCTCTGCCAGCCTTGCAAGAGACTGATGACCTGTTCAGGGTATCTTGTCTATCAACCTCTAACAGACATGACAGGCTACAGCCATGTAACTCTTGATAAAGTTTGATAAACTTTTAAGAAAAAACGTATCTTTTCAACATTTTACCAATTTTACTTGCAATTTCAAAGATATTGCATCCAGTACAAAGTTGCAGACGTAACATTATAGAGTCTGAAGTCAAACAATAGTTTTACAATTTCTATTACTTAAAGTTTATATTAATTTTCTACTTATCTTTTTTTGCATCAAAAGACAAATAAATAATACTGAAATTAAAATTGGGAAACAACTCCTTTGTATTGCTAACACAATATCAGCTCTTGAAAAGCAGCTCCAACAATGGTATTACTAGCCAAGAACCCAGAGTGATGTTAAATCCCAATATACCCTCATGTGACCCGACTAAATAAACAGAAATGGATGAAATTGTCCCACAGAGGTGATATACCAAAAGTATCTGATCTTGTCTAAAACCCGAGTCTTCTTTAAGCAACATTTCTTAAGCTGTTAAACACAGTTTAGACTTTTGTCAATCGTTAAATAAACACATAGAAGATAATGTTTGAATGTTACCTGTTATTTAATGGAAAAATGTAATGGCAGTAGTTATGACTAACCTACTATTTGTTCATTTTTGTTCAGCCAATGTAAATGCACTAATTCTATACTTTGAGAATACTGATTGCTCTAACAGAATCTGGTAACTGTGAGATGTGTTTCTGTGGTTTAGTCATAGTGTATCAGAAGTAACAAAACTGTTTCAGTGAGCTCATAAGTATCCATGATCTAAGAATGATAGAATTTCTTTTCTATTATGCATTAGAAAAGTCATCTTCAATTGATGCTTTACTGTAGTGTTCATCAAGGTGAAGGATG